GTTATTGCATAAAATTGTTGATATATATTAAAAATGTGAATAAAAGTAAAAAATAAAATTAAAATTATTTGTTTAGCACTTTGATTATTTTCAACAATATTTTGCTTAATTTCACTGTTTGCTCACTTTACGATTTCTCTGAGCTTTTAAACAATTTGTAGAAATTGTTTGTCAATTACTTTTAATATCCCAATTAAATTAGAAAACTTACGAATATTGTTTCTTTTTTTCATATCTTTAATTTTTTTCTAATTTAGGTATACGATTTCTCTGTATTTACATGCTATCCGCAAATTCAAGTTCATTATGCCTAAAGATAAACCATAATGTGCTTATATGTATAGGCAACAATATGGAATGCTTTCTTATGAATAGTTTGTTGCATTAAGTAGTGCTTCCTGTTTTTTTTTATGTATTTCTTTTTGCTTCGGTGTAAATCGTTTGTCATTACGCGCCTTTCTTTTACATACGCATTTTTTTATATTATGCAGGGTGTAGTGAGACAGGCAGTACACACAGGCAGAGGGTGATTTTACGTGTAAAAATAAACTAAAAATGTAGCATTAAATTTTTCACAAGAAGCTCAATTTTCGAGCAAATTGAATCTAAAGATTCGTCAAGTACTTCGTCATGCACTTGACTATTTTTCTACTTAATGGATTTGCTACTAGCTGTTGTTTCAACTCACATTTTTATGTTGATATTCGTATCAAGAAATAATCTATACAGAAAACAGCATATATTTTTTGTAGCTCAAAGAAATATCATACAGGCTTTCAAATAATTAAAACGTCAAAAAACTGTGACATCAGTCCATGACTCTTTGATTTATAGAGAACGGATTTGTATGCGTGAACAAAGTAAATGTAAGTTAATAAAATCGTTAATAAATGTATTATCAATACTTATCATTAGATTGGTATTGTTTATTAGTATAAACATGAAACTCCGAGATAATCAAGCGCACGCAAAATTTTATCGAAAATTGAGCTTATGAAATTTTATTATATATTTTTGGTTTATTTTTACATATAGAATCACCTTCTATCTGGTTGTATTATCCGTCCCACAACACTCTCTATATTAGTTTATGTTATGTGGTGTTGTAATTGCTTATTTCAGTAAAAATATAATATGTATATGTCATACGTAAAGGAATCAAATGAATACTAACTACATATCATACAAACAACTTATATCATATATAGAATATTGTTATTATTTAATAGTTGAATCTGATCATATATTAGAAGTAATCAGTAAAGTAAATATTCTTAATAGTTTTGAATGCTCAAGATGTGGGAGGAGCTATTTAATGCAGTTCAATAAGTACTCTTAATCCAACTATTAGGTCGTGTAATATGAAATGTTGGATTTTTCAGGGAGGAATGAAAATCGGGTTTTAAATTCAAATAAACTAACAAACTAACACTTCAAGTAAATCTAACATTATTGGAGAAAGAAAAAAGTAGAAAAGGAGAGAGGAAGACAAAGAAAGAAACAGAGAATCAAATGCAATTTAAGACAAATAGTGATAGTGCTTTGTTTACAACTGATAACAGTATACAATTTTTTTTGACAGAAATGGAAGTTGCGTTCTTCTTTCACCCTTCACTAGAAGAATTTCGAGTAAATGGGCCGTTTTTTTATGCAATTACAACAAGGAATGACAACATAATTCCCTTTAATGGCCAAATTATTGATTTCGAGACAATTGCGTAATTTTTTTAATTACGTTGCATGTTTTTATTTCTATTAACTAATTTTTCTGTTCCTTGAAAAAATCGCGCTTATTATTAACTTCTTCGCTCTTTTTCTTTTCTTTACATTCATTTCAATGTAGGTAAATTTTCTATATGAAGTATTATCTTACCAATTTCCCAATAATACTATTTAGTACCTTGAGTAGAAATATAGCACATGATAGCGATTCAATTTTTTTCCTATTCACAAGTTCATGCTTGCAACTCAAGCGAATAATTCACTATTAATTGCTTGTGGCAGGTCTCAGTGTAAGGCCTCTTTCGAGCTTTTGGTCACCGCCGAAGCCCATTGAGTTCTGCGTCAATCGACCATTCCTGTCAATCGTTAAATACTACAATGTGATTTTATTTATAGCGAATGTTATGTTTTAGAGCTCTTTCTTCCAATTTAAAAATTAAGGAAGACAATATAATATTAATTTTATACGATACACACCGATGTTTTTACGGCTTTAAAATGTTGAATTTCTATGTTTTTTCTACTTTCTACGGTATTAGAAATCGAATTAGGGGTGAATAGTATACCTCGTATTGTGCACTGTCTTGCCAATCTTTGCCAATCTTAATACAAGTTGCTTGACTGGTTCGACTGATATGAATAAATGAGTTTTTATACGTGAAAAAAGTTGTCGTCACTTATATCATATTTTAAGATATTTATATTATCGTTGTTGGATTGTGGAATAATTTGAGCAATGTCAAAGTGTAAGGGAGAAGAAATGAGATTTTCTAGTGTTTCGCATTAATAATTTATCAAAGAGTATTTATCGTTATTACTTCTTCCCTTGTTATTTTCTTTTTAACTATAATACTTCATTTTCATGTATTTCAATTAATTTATTGCATTTGGTTCTTTGTAGTATATTTAAATTTAATTTCTTCTTCTAAGCAATTAATTTGTTTATTCACTGATATAACTTGTGATATAAGACATACAAGAATTAGTATATAAATAAAACCATAAGGATTAAACTTCTTGCATTTAGAAAGTGTAATTAACTTTCATGAACTATACTTCTTTCAACAATAGTATATTTTAACATAATATTTTAATACTTGTTTATAACCATTATTGAAACCTGAAAGTATTTGCCTGCAACCTTGAAGAGATTCAATATGTTCGCTACCAACGTCATGTATGTGTGACGTGTAAATTCTCATGATAGATCGGTATATTATCTACATATAATACATCATACAAAATGCACAGTTTGCGTTTTTAATACATATTCCGAGTGTATAAGTGTATCGTATTATGTAAAATTGATAAAAACATAGATATTGAGAATGTAAACAAAAATAATACGGAGGATAAGGTGGAGGATAAGATAAAATAATACGATGCTTCCACAGAACCGTGGCAGTGAACGTGTTAAATAAAATTCGATTAAATTATTGTGGGATTGGGGCCTGTGTACCCACCAACAGGAGCAATAACAATGAGGAAGTTAAGAGTGTGCCTTGACTATGGGCGTAGAATCTCTTGGTCCCTCAAATTTTTTCTCGGATCCTACGTTATTAACATAATATATAATTTTACTTTTTAATGAGAATATTTAATATCAAGTAATTATGTAATAGAGTTCAACTCCATGTAATAGTATATAATCAGGTATTGTACTTATTATTATTTTAAAAGGAAATTATAAACCTTTACCTTTTTTCCAATATTTTCAATTTTTCTAAAGTTTTAAATCGTTATTTTAACATCTGTTTAGTTAGTTAACTAACATCTGATAGTTATCAATAAGTAAAAAATTTCGATCGGTCCAGTAACAATAAAATAATCTTAAAGTGTTCACGTTAAGCGGTTCACTTTGTATTTCATCATTATTGCTTTCGTTTATACATCATACATCTTTCTACTTTAAAATTCTATATTTATTTTAAACATAATTACAAGAAATAAAATGTTGTTTCAAATGGTTTGGATGAATTTACGTAAACAAAAACTTTTTCACACAATTAATTTATAAATTGAGAATGCAATATATAAAATTGAATTATTTTGAATATATGTATATTACTTATGTACAAAATAAAACAATTTATAGTTCCATTCGTTAATTACATTCTTTTTTAATTTTTTTTTTTAATTGCCTTTTAAATAATGTTTGAACATTCAAAAATTACTAACGAAATGCGACAATTGAATGGGACGATGGAATAGTAGGAAGAGCACTTCTTAGACAAATTAATTTAATTTATATTCACTCATATGTCATACTTATTGTTTTTCAGCCGTTCTGATGGTGGAAATCGCTCCAATTTTACCTTCAATTGAGCCTCTAATCTTCAACGTTGACAGACCTTTTTATTTCATCATTCAGTATAATAATACACTGCCGCTCTTTACTGGAATCGTATCAGAACTTGAATAACAGTGAAATATATTTGCTATGTTGACAAATATGTGAAATTCTTAATGAATCGCTTGAAATAGAATTTTTTTTAAATTTTTGTATAGCATGTATAAATTTAAAAAAGAGAATTAAACAAATATCACTGCTTAACCCTTGGATTGTTGACGCTTCTAGCGGCCGAACAGCAGCCGTGACTACTGGGTCTGTACAGACTATAGACCCACGTCTACCTTTCTCATGTATTTTTATCACTTCGGATAAAAAGTGATTATTCTCCTATAGTAACTGATATTTCGAAATCTAAAGATCGTTTTTTTAACAATATAAATAAATAGCATAATATAAAAAAGAATGAAAACAAAGCATAAATAGACAGTATACATAATAGAATCTAATGTATACATAATAAATTATTTTGTGATATGGAATGTAAATTACATATATGCCTTTAGCAATCATTGCATTTAAGTCAATATTGTTATCAATTTCGATGTATATAAATCATTTGGAGACACACAGATCATCTTATCAGCTCTAATAAAACAATTGCTGGCTTAAACTAATTATAACGAGTTAAGGAGATTGAGGCTCTTCAGAACGTGTGTCAAAATAGATGCAGGCACGGCTGTCAGAGGGTTAAAGTCATTGAATTTTTACGGATCGTCGTTGAATGTCATCGTTTGCATTCTTTCCTTTTTGTTTTTCATTGTGGAACGTAATGATGCTAGCATTTCTTCATTGTACAATATGTACAGAATTTTCATACGTCTTTTTAAACAAAATTTCCAATTTTACAACTTTTTCATTTGTTGTAAGACATATTATCGTGATTCACTTTTTCTTGTTTCATAATAATATCAGCAGAAGAAATTGAAGGCAGCGTTATTCAATCAAAACTAGACTGGTCAATGTACAATTTGTTCCAGGTGTAATAATGGGAGCACGCTCTATGGCACTCAGGACGGAAGTGATGATTGATCATCCCTTTTTCTATAGTATTGTCAAAATATTTACGAACCCAGAAACTGAACATAGAGATGTTATACCGATATTTGTTGGGCACACTGTCGAACCATATATTGCTTAATTTATTCGTTGTCTTATTCCTTAGATAGATTGAGAATAGATATAAATTATTTAAAAATTTTCACAAATAGCCATATTAACTCTAGTCTATGTTGACCAAAAATTTTGAGTAGAAATGTGAAGAAACTATTTTTTTTCTGAAGATGATAAAATATTTGAATATATAGAAAAGAATATAGTCTGTACACAGTGTAGAAAACATGTACTATACAAAAATAAATAATTATATGTCTAATTATAACACACTTATAAATCGATTTTTAATAGTTTCTTGTTACCATTATATTTCAGTATTGTACACGTAGTCATTTCATAGAATGTTAAATAGCGAGGAAAACAGTGCACAAAGATATGTCATCAAAAAGAGATTTAAGTGATTTTACAATTATTACAGTAAATAGTTACATTGTTTACTAATGATGCTAGCGTCTTATATAATTCCAGAGGAAATGCCAATCAACCGTCCGTTTATCTGCAATACCATTAAAAAGGGAGACATCAATTTACAGATGTTTATGGGGCACATCAGTAAACCTTAATTATTTAAACGTGTAACATAAGGTGATCTTAGAAATTGTACTACTTTGAACATGTTTTCATTTGTACTTTATGAAATGACGTATAATAACTGTTTTTTCCTTATGCAGATACACACACAGGTGTAACACATACATATGTATCTATAAATCTAATCATGATAAACATGCAGTGATATCTATCATTTTCCAATAAGTTAAATAATATACACATAGTGGCATTTCCAGTTTAATATTCATTTCTATTTAATTTGTTTCATTTTGGCTCAACACAATTTTATTTACAGATCATGCATTTATGTATTTAAAAGAAAAAATTATTAACAGGTTTGTAATTAACAAAATTTTTTTTCCATTTGAATTTATTACTAACAAAAGAAGTACCGATGCATGATATTTTATATTGTTATGTGAAATTTCAACATTTGTGATGAAGTGAGAATACATTGGCTTTAGCTGTATGCATTATTAAATGGGTGTTTGGTAATAAATTATATGTGTGTAAGCTTTACATGCAGTACATTAAAATTTGCTCAAAGCTGTTATGCGTTTTTGTTTATAAACATATTCCTGTACGTTGTACCTGATGCTTGTAAATTTGATAAAATAATGGGAATGTTTCATAGTATTATATGTGAGTCATTTGACAGATCCTCGGAATGGAATGAAAAAAAAACACCTTATATTGCTTTCAAATTATTTTTATTTTTCAATATAATACCATTTAATATGAATGCACTTGGACCAACGATGTTCCAAAGCTTTACCATCGCGAAACTACATTTTGTCAAGACCTGCAAATATTTATCAACGGCTTCCTTAACTTTCTCGTCTGATAAGAATTTCTTTCCACCAAGGATATTTTTTCAACCGTGGAAATAGGTGAAAGTCAGGGGTAGCTAAATCTGACGAATAAGATGAATGTGGCAATAAATCTTATCTTAATTCGTTGAAAAATTTACATTCGAATTCGAAATACTACGTGGTATAATGATGCACGCATGAAATGCAAAGTAAGAAGCAAAAAAAAAAACTAAAGAAAAATAAATTAAACATATATTAAAATTACACTTATGCGAAACTAAAACTAAGCAACCAAATTTTATAACTATACAATACATAGGTTTCATTTATTTTTCTTTAGTTTCTCAATTTTCTTTGTTTTTTTAGTTTTCATTTTGTGCATGCACGTGTGCATGTGAATAATGTAGTGTATAAGATAGTGTATAGTGTTTGTTTTTCAGTGATTTGTGTGTTGTGTTTATTGAGTGTATAGTGTACGTTGTATTTGAAGAGCACAATGGAATTCACATTTAAAGATCTTTCCAAAATGCACCTGTTGCGTAGTGAAGCAAACTGTAGTACCATAGAGGTCGGTAATGCCGTTTACGGTGTCAAATGTCATTGTCTCCTTTTCTACGACTTGTACGAGGTAAGGTGCCGGCCATGTGTAGTTGGTTTTGAAGATCACTGTAATGCCCTTGTTTTGTTGTGCTCTATATTCGTTGGTGTAGAGAGGTATGCTCGGCTGCAGGGATATTTTTAAAAGTTAATAACTAAAAAACGAAGTCTCAAACGCAATTACTTTATTCTTGATTTTCGTCTTATTTTGACTTCTAGAATCACCCCCTAAAATTTCCTGCCAGGAGTAGCTGAACACCCCATATTTCTTTCGAGGCATGTCATAGGGAACGAAATATATGAATTGCACCCCATTTGGGCTTTGATTTTGTTTCAGGTCTCGTTATACTGAAAAAGTGTGAAGTGACAGCAGTGGATATCACTGTCACGCATCCGTTTTTGTATCATATCATAAAATCTGTGAACGATACAAAGAATAGAACTTCTTCTATCGTATCACTATTCAGTGGTCATGTTATCGAACCCAAGATCTAAAAACAGTTAAGAATATGATTTTCGAAATTAATGTCATGTCGTTCCTATACATCCACTCGCATTGCTTGTATCATTTATATTTGTATTATATCAGCTGCACTTGCTTAAAGAGACATGCATATGTCAAATTCATATTTAAATCTTCTAATCCAATTCACATATTGTTATGTTCATTAAAGTCAGTTAAATGTTTATATATTTCATTAAATATTTTATTCGCCATTTTCTATTCAAAGTAATTTGCACATACATTGCAATTATATATGTATATACAGGGTGTCCCGTAACTTCTCGAGCACCCGGAAATGGGGGGTTGCTGGGGTGACTCTGAACAACTGTTTCCTTTACCAAAATGTTGTTTGAAGCTTCATTTTTGAATTATTAACGAAAAACACTGTCCAGTCAGAGCACGCGTAGAGTTCACCGACCCGGTCGTAACATCAGATGTTTCGAATTGCCTGGATAGGTCAGGATCGACACACTGACCCAGTTCCATCGAAGCAGATTAATTCGTGGACGAATGGGTAAGTTTTTCATAAGTAATAAAACACTTTATTCCTTTCGGATAACGAATAAAAGTATCGAACACAGTTATTAAACGACTTACTTGTTATTCGTGAAAAAGAAAAAAAATACGTTTTGTAAATCTACGTCAATTATACACACGCTGAAAATTTTATCGAAATCGGTGGATGAAGAAACAAGCGACAGGCATCGAAAGATGTAAGAATCTGTAGATTTATTAGTTTTACGCCGAAAGTCGTGATAGTGCGATTTTCACAATCTTTAACCATTTGTAGCTCATAGCAACATTAACCGATTTCGATGAAATTTTCAGCGTGTGTATAATTGACGTAGATTTACAAAACGTATTTTTTAGATTTTCATTACGAGCTCAGATAAAAAAGTTGTAAAAATGACCTTCGCTATTTTCTTCGCGATTCCGACTAATTGCAGTTTTTTCAAAAATTTATACAAACGTCGAAATGACGGCAAAAAACCATTTCTCTAAGCTTTATAAAAATAGCGGTGCAAAGTCAAATTTTTTTTGCAGTACCCGTCCGTCCCTGAGCGCGGGCTCTACGCGCGCTCTGATTGGACAGTGTTTTTCGTTAATAATTCAAAAATGAAGCTTCAAACAACATTTTGGTAAAGGAAAAAGTTGTTCAGAGTCACCCCAGCAACCCCCCATTTCCGGGAGTTCGAGGAGTTACGGGACACCTTGTATATAAACAAAAGGAAATCAGATGAAACAAAATTGAATGTTCATTTCAAATTACGTTTTCCTTTTACTTTATTTTTTTATATGGAATAATGTACAGCTTAGAAAAATCGTAGACTTTAAAGAAATAAAAATAAATCCTCCGTACGGTTTACAAGGTGAACTTGACTTTAAAATCTTCAACCCCTGACTGCTTTTATATTATAAAAAATAATGTATTTATGTCATACAATATATGTATAAAATTTGTTTCAGGTGTAATAATGATGCTTACCAGTCTTCGTGTTACCCCGACCATAATAATAGATCGACCATTTGCATATAATATTATTTACAAAAGCCAAAATGAAGATAAAAATCTTATAACTTTATTCAGTGGACATATTAATAATCTTGACATATAATCTATTATTTCATTTGTATTTTGATGTTTGTTATTGTTTTGCATTTTCTTTATGATGAATAATATATAATAAATGTTAAATGTATTATATGCATGTACACATTTTATAATGTTGCTTATTATGTGTGTTATATTCTTATCGATGTCTATCTGTAATCAATTTTTATTGTACATATTACATTTATTACATTTTTAATCGATTTGCTTTCGTAACAATAATTCTCTGTAACATGCAATAATTTTCTTGCAGAGCTGGAGGTAGTACTCTTGTCGGCACCCTTAGATCCAAATGAAATTATGATAAATCATCCGTTTTACTACAGCATCGTGAAAACATTTCACGATAAAGAAGCTAATGTTCGTAATGTAGAAACGATTTTCGCTGGACACGTTTGTGAACCTCAACTCTAAATAAATGTAATAGCTTTCCGTATAATCAAAAACAAAATACTATTTTATAATACGCGGTAAGCTACTTAGGATAATGAGTGTTTATTCTACAAATAATTATGGATGTTAATTCGCTGTAAAATTGTATAAATGCGAAGTACACCTTATGTAAAATTGTTAATAAAAATATAATTTATAATAGGCGTACAAAAAAAAATGAAAATAAACGTCTCAGAAAGTTTTTATTTCAAATTAATCATACCTTTTATAACACTGGTTATGCTGATATTTTCTAAATACTTCTTAACATATAACATCGTTTTTCATTGCGTTATTAACACAACGTTTGCACTGTTTCTTCAGCTACTGTAAAATTTATTATTTTATAATGCTGTTATAAAAGCGTTAGTCGTACTAATAGTCTTGTTTTTCGAGTCAGAGCCAAGAATTCATTGTCTGTGTTTTTTCAACATCGTTGAACTTCTTCGTGACGAAAAATCTGTAGAAGATTTTTGGAATTCTTATTTACAGGATGTAATAATAATCCACAAATTTAACGTGAACATTAAAGACATACAACAATTTGGTAATTTTATGCAATTTAACTGCATAAAATAACATAATTCGTAATATAATGCATGTTTAATGCATTAAAAAACAAGGAAACTTTTAACAGTTTGATTTGCCTAATATTATTTAATGGAAATAATTATTATTAGTGGTATAATTTTATATTATAAATGTAAATACCTAATATTTGTAATATTTTTCTATCTAATAAAGTCTAATATACAGGGTGAGACAAAAACTTTGTCCACCTGGAATATTTCCGTTATTTGTAATAAAATGGAAAAATGTTATTATATAGAAAACTTGCATGATATGCAGGAGGACATGATGTGATACACTTAAATATTTTTTACGTGAGTGAGGATTTTCTGAGATTTCAAGGTCACCTTCATTTTTTTAAATAACATGCTATACTTTTTTTTATTACATCGACCTGTAATGCAATGTCATTTGATAATAAATAGAGAGATAAAAGAATGAGTCTTACATCAAAAGCGATGCTTGAAATGGGGTGGGTGGGAATCATTACTAATGATTCATATTTTCTAACGTTGTCGGTTTTTCCTGATATTTGCAATATTATATACGCAATATAAAAAAAGAAATCCAGTGGTGCTATTGTCGAGCGAACGAACTAACCACGTCCTACTCATCGATTCGGTAAGATCCCTCTGTACGTAGCTCTTGACTTCTTCGTTGACTATCATCGATTTCTTTCTTTAGAGAATATTACAAAATATTGCACATCAGGAAAAGCCAAGAACGCTAGAAGATATAAAGCAAAGACTCGTTGCAGCATGTGTTATAATCAATCTGGAAGTGATAACAAGTGTATACAGTGTTGCGCCGATACAAGTAGACACCATTTCGAACACTAAAGACTCGTAAGACTCGTTGTTTTACTCTTTCACTAGTTTAGCATGCCATTTAAAAAAATGAAGATGACCACGTGAAAAGTATTTG